AATGTAGATCTCTGTCTAAGCTACCCTCATACCACTCTGTCTAAGCTACCCTCATACCAAAAATCATAAAAATACATGATTATTCCTTTGTGAATTTATCTGCTTTAAACAGTTTTGCCAGAAACCTTCTTGCAGTTCCAGAACAAGCTGCTAGGGGGACCAAACTCACACCACTTATTACTGGCAGGAAAGCTATCAGTCACCAAAAAGCCAAAACCATAGCATGTTCAGGACAAAATATACAAAACCGGAAGTTGTGCTGCAGTACCAAGGTCAGCCACCAGGAGGCCATGTTTGACCTTGACCTTCATCTTCCTAAGACCTACCAACATACCAAATATCATCACAATCCATTAAGGCGTTCTGAAGTTATACTGACTACAAAGTTGTGGAAACACACACAAACAGACAGACACACCAAAAACAATATCTCCATTTTTCATGGAGGTAAGAACACGCTAAAAATACCCCTAAACCCAAACCTCTGCTTGGAGAGTAGGAGTCTGTCTACCAGCTGCAGAGGGTCGTACATGGTGCAGTTGTGTTACTACTAGCCTCTAGGAGGCTTTGGGAGGCGGCTGGAAACAGTACAAATTGACCAAATAGAGTTGGACAGAGTTGGTCCGCGAGAGAGTACATTTTATCGAAAATACCTGGTACGTGGGTATTTCTTGAGAAGACCAGGGTCAAGGTCGTTTTTTTGCCCCCTGGTTTGTGACCTGGGTACTGCATCAGAACGTCTGTTTCTTGTATATGTTGTCCAGGACATGCAAGAAAATATTGTCTGCTATTTGCAAACTCTGCCTCCATGTAATATGTTATTTGGCTGAAATATGACAGGAGGAGGGAGAAGAAACATGACATTGACAAAGAACAAGAACATATTTCAATCCCATGCCTGTAGTATGGTGCAAACTACTCCTTAATGGAGACAAAAATGTGCTATATGTACTTGGAACATGGACTTGACTGTTGCAGGGTAACTGCAACAATCTGAAATACCTATACAATTCCAACTCCATCTACCTGCATATGCAGGTTGTATAGAGTTGTGAATTGTGACTTGTTGTTTCCATGAAGATATGGCTAATCAGATGTGCAGCAATAAAATGTTACAGGACCCTAACAATGTGTAATGCTGCTTCTGATGACATTTGTTTCTTTTATGTTGTCCTTTGATGATGATATTGTTCACTTTATTCAAGACATTATGATATTATTATTATTAAAACTATTGATAAACACAAAATTATGGAAATCATGGAAATAGTAAACAAAGACATGAAGCTCCTCTGACAATTCCTCTTTTAATGTCAAGAGTTTATAAAGTTATAGTTGGAAATAAAATATTATAAATGCTGAATTCTCAATACTGCATATGGTTTATATAAAACATTAAAAACTTTAAAAATAAGGAAAGAACAATAAACTCTAACTGCACACACACTAAAATCTAAACCTAAAACAACTAGCTTTGGCCTATGCTCTCGGTCTTCTCTCTTTTTATAGAGATATAACTTTATGTTTCATCCATCTCGTAATCATTCATGCATGACATAAAGTAGTACTACTTAAATGTAGCCTGTTTTGACATTCTGTTATATGTACATCTCTTGTCAAATTGCATTGACTTTTACAGCTATTGATGCTCCTTTTCATGTGATGAGTATAGTAGGTAATGTAGACCATCTTCCGCCTGCAGTATTATAGGTAATCACAGAATTTGGACATTTTGGAGGGGTTATTAAATGGGATATAAATGTACCCCACCCATGAAAGCTAATGCCCTCCCCCCCCCCCATTATGACTGATTTCACTAGGGACCTATGAAATCATGATATAGCTTGACTTTGATGATTTAATTTGGATCCACTTGCATATCAACAGCATATCATACATATTTGTACCCTAATTGTCTGGATGTTCCTTTCGATTTATCTTATTTTTCATATCTTGCCTTCAGATAACCCCGTAGAATAAACCCCTGAAGAGGACTAATCAAAGGCTCCTGTTGCACCCTGTTCCTCCTGCAAGTAAGATAAATCAAGCTTGAGTTCCTCTATTCTCCTTGTGACGTCAGCTACCTGCTCCATCAGTCTGTCGTCGGGCTCCTGTCAATCTGTTTTGTGGAAGAACCAGGTCGCGCTTGCCATCTTCGAGATCCTACTCATCCTGGTAACGTACCAGAGGACGTCTCTTCCGTTTCGGGCGCACATCAGCTTCTGACATTGCTGGAGTTTCCATACAATTTTGCTTGTGTTCCACCTTCGCACAGTTGTTGCTGGGATTAGACCAGATTTGCGGATGAAGGAGACGAAGGAGAAAGAACAGTCGTGATCTCTACCCTGACGAGGCAAAGTGAGTCAGATGATGTAGGAGACACGTGACTATTGTCTGCACAAAATTCCCTGGGATCACCATTAGAATAAACCCCTGAAGAGGACTAAGGCATTGATGACCATGAACTTCAAGATGTTCAATGTCCTCCTTATTGTCTTTCTATTAGGACTTAACACAGTGTGCAGTGTGAATGTTGGTGAGAGACTCCATCTCAACATCAAGCAGAAAGTGAAATCTGCAAAAACGTTGGGACCAAAGTCAGTTGACGATGTTCTGTCACCACAACTTCTCATCTGGGACCCGGTCACACAATTCCCATGGCTGTTTGATGAACTCAAATGCACATGTGGAAAACAGTTGAGTGTCTCAAAGTTCATGGATGGTTCTACTGAAAACAAACAGCCAATGCTCATTTTTGGGAAAACAACAAACATACTTCTTGTCAGCAGAATCTTGAGGTGTCCACTAGGACATCGTATTGTGAGCCATTCACAATACATCTTAGACCGAATGCCGAGCATCACTGTTCCATTTGTGCTGTCACACAAGTATGGGTTGGAACGTACCCTTGCAAATGAGGTATATGACATGGTTTCTACTGGCATGGACATCATGGAATGTGTGAGACTGCTAAAAAGATGTAGGACAACACATATTGAGGGGAGCCTGAGCATGCTTGATCTTCATCCCGACCAGCACCATATACATGAACACATAGATGGAATCAAGGCAATAATGTCACAAGTTCCTGGTGAAAAAATGTTAAGAAGATGCTTCGAATGTATTTTCAATGAAAAAAAGAAAGGTTTGGAGCATTCCATTAAAGGCACTACAACATCAAATTGGATTAGTATTGATCACACATTTAAATGTGTTAAACACATTAGGGTAAATGTAGATGGAAAATATCTTACCAAAATAAGGGCACTCTGTACTGTCACAAATGACATTGGCCAAGTTCTAACATGGCAGTTGTGTAAATCGACTGCCTTCAGTGAGATAGAGGCATCTTTGCTTGGACTCAAAGAGAGATTAGAGAGACAGAATGTAGAAGTACAAGAGATATTCCTAGACCAGTGTTGCGAGTGGAGAAAATTGATAGAAGGGGTTTTTGGTGAAGGTACTGTTGTAAAACTAGATTTGTTTCATGCTGTTCAAAGAGTAACAAAGTTTATCCCTAAGCACCACCCACTGTCAAGACATATTAGACGAGACCTTTCCATGGTGTTTAGAGGGAAAGGGGACATTGGTCAAAAAAGGACAAAGGTAACACCTCCTCCATTGCAAATTGCACAAAATATGAAGAAATTCCAAAACAAGTGGCAAAAGAGCAGGAAAGAACACAAAGGGAAGCTTGTCTACCCAAAAACTGCTCAAGACGAGGTCAGGAAACTGATGAAGCACATAGAGAAGGGATGTGTGTCTGACATCGAACCGGGAAAAGGCACAATCAGAAATGAAGCCCTCCACCGCAAGTTGAACCAAAGAATGAACAAGAACAAAATAAGTCCCACATTTGCATATGCCCTAATGTTCACTATCATACATGCAATAAACCGGCATCTTGCATCACTATACAAGCGGAAGTTTTGCGATGTGGAGTCCTCAGAAGAGTTTGGCCTGCCCTCTAACAACACTCAGTCACATGCTTCACCCGAAAATGACAAACTTGGAGATGCAAATAACGCCAGCGAAATTCAAGATGAACTTGTCAATTGCAAAGTTAGGGTTTTCAATCTTCTGAAGAACTATGCCGCCTCAGCTGATCCCAACTTAGCATGTGACAGTGGAATCGATCTTCTAAGCAAAATGATGAATGATGAGCAGCAAAATGATCATTATGATGAAAGCAACCTTGATGCCAATCTGGCTGCCCTTGGTTTGGTACGTGTACCCTCCAAAGCTGATGGAAGCTGCCTGTTCATGTCTATTAGCTACCAGCTGATACAGCTGCTTGAAGATGAAGACATTGGCACAAAGGTCTGCAACCACTTATCTTCCCTTTTTCCCGACATTTTCAACAACATCCAGCCTTCAACTTCAAGTGCCATTAATCAGGAAAACTTGGCCATTCGTCTAAGAGCTACCATGGTAGATGAGTGGCTAAACAATGAAGATAAATATAAGACATATGTGCCAGACATCAACTTGCAGGACGAGGCTCCGAGGTTCCTTTTGCGAGATCAGTTTGATGGTGACTTGGGGGACTTGATGGTACAAACATTGTCAAATGTGCTGAACATGGCTATCCTCCTGGTCACTCCGAACCAAAATACACCAATCATTCCATTGTTCCCATCCAATGTAGTTGATGACAGAGCATGTATCTACCTCGCTTTCGATAGCAACCTGATGCATTTTGATTCCACTGCCAGTTCAACTTTACCTTCAGAGCCTGCCTTGTCTGCCACACCTCCAACTTCACAGAGTTTATGTACCTGCAGCTGTGGTGTCAACGACAAAACACATAAGAAGAGATGCAATGACAACATCAAAAGTCAAAACTACAAAAGCAGGTGTCCATGTGCCAAGCAACATCAATCATGTACATCCTTGTGTAGGTGCAAAGGGTGCACAAACCACTATGGACAAAGAGTAGTGGATAATGCACTCCAGCATTCGGCAAAACTGAAAAGAGCCCAGCGGAAAAGATCGAAGGAATGGATGGACAGTAAACCCATGTCTGGAAGGAATTACATGCAGCAAAAAGGACACATTCTACGCTTCTTTTCCAAAAAGGACGACTTCCATCTAAAGCAGTCCGAATCTCCACAAAGTTGCGAGTTCCTGAGAAAACAGTTCACTGTGGAGCACATCAAACGAAGACACCAAATTCTGACCAGGAGAGCTGAAAATGCCAAGCATGCTGTCGGCTTGTCCAGAAAGGGTATGTGACTGCTGATATACTTAATTATGTAGGTCATCGACCTACAAGATATGACATATCCATCCACAAATTTATCGTTACTCTGAGCTCTATGCTAAGGACTAGTGGTTTTCCATTGTGCATAATGCACCTCTTTAGGCCACACTAATTTAATTTGTTAGTTCACAGATTTTTTCAGAAGAAATATGAACCAATATGTCGAAATGAAAAAAAAAGCAGACCAAGGCACCCCATGATAGCAGGAAATGTTACGATAAGAGCCGTGAAGTTAACATACCAGGCTGGTTTATAATTCAAACAATAAATTTTGAACTTGTAATGAAACCACCTCATTGTTACATGGAAAAGCTAGTGAGAAAAGTACTTTTTACAACCATTGGGGCCATAATATGTCTTCCATTCAGCATTTTGGAGTTGATTCAGAATCTAAAATTTTTTTTTTTTGCAAATCAGAAAAAATGGACAGGCGAATCCGATAAGCAACAAATCAAATTGGTGTGGCCTAAGCTAATGTAATGAGGAGACCTAACCTCTTACTGCTTTGTACATTGTAAGCTTAAGTTAACTGTTGCATAACTAGTACTAGTAGTCCTCTTGGCTTAAAGGATTAATTAGCCACCAGCACGGCATTCTTGGATTCTTGGTTCAGATGATCAGCTAACAGTGTGGCCCCTCTGAAAAATTTACCTACAATATACATGTATATATATATATTGGTCATTGAAATTGAAGTGATGCTTGCATCAGGAAATCAAATTCAAGGCTAGGGAAAGTATGATGTTCCCTCAAGGGGAGAATTCAAAAACTTCCTATGTCCTGATCTTGCGCATGTTATCTTTGTCCAAAGAGATGTATATTTATCCCTTAAGTTCATTTTTATCATCTTTTCCAATATGCAGGTCACCGTAAGAGACAAAGAGGAGTACAACAATCAATGAATGTTCAGAAGGGTAAGATAAATGCTGCTTTTGTGGTTAGATTTTTGTACATTTCCAAAGATGCATGATTCAATTTCATAATGTTAAACTACAATAGCAATTACCTACATTTCAGCTTGGACGTGACACTATGTTGTGTTTGAGCAGGGACATAAATGTTCTGAGCTTTCAGGCCTGATGCATGGACAAATATTTCGAAAAACTGAAGCTTGTCAAAGAAATGGTCTATTGAATTAATATGGACACAAAGATTAAAGTCACACTGCTGTAACATGTTGAATGTATTGATACTGAACATTAGCAGACAATTGGCAAGCAAGCTTAAAATACCTTTCTTACTCCCATGGGATTGAAGTAAAATCACAATGGCTAACAGTATTCCTCACTTAGGCATGAAGTTTTATTCACATGTCTTAAATATTTCTTTGTCTGGCATTTATCTTTCAGACAAGACTTGGGAAACTGGAATTTACGGAGCAGATCAACTGTTAGAACAACGTATCAGAAATGTACAGTCTTCATTCTTGTCATTAGTCATATCATCAAACTATTTCATTACCATTTAATTGTGCACCTTCTGAATATAGAACGTAAAGTAATCTGAAACAAGCATACAGAGAATAACTTGCCTTGGATTATCAGGATTTGGGTCATGAAAGCAAATTGTGATTAGCTTGAGATGCACGTTTTGTTGTAATTTGTTTATTTAACAAGGAAATTTGTATTCCTGGTGTATTACATGGCTAGATTGGAAAGAACCAACCGTAAAGCTGATGTAAGACGTTTGGGACGAGAAGGAATTTCATGCTTTATAAATATAATTCCTGCACACCTTTAGATAACTCAAAATATTCCATGGGGGCCTGAATTCTACGAAATCTTGTTTTCTTTGTAGATATGGTGATATCAGTATGATAGTTATATGAATATATATGTATCCTTTTTTGCCACAGGGAACTAAAGAGTACTTGGTGAAGTGGAGGGATAGCAACATTCGGTATGCTTCCAATTATGACATGTTTTGATGTTCCCACTCTTGCTTTGATTTTGAAAATGCTGATACTAGGTTCAATGTTGTACATTATTGCAACATTACACAATTACAGAAGCAGAATTCTTTTTGAATCTCAGAGTTATTGATGCTCCTCGATATTTCTTTCTTTCAGAACATGGGAGCCAGTCGAGAACATTCTTGATGGAAGATTGATCAGCACTTTTGAGGAATCACTTGGTATGAACACAGGCATTACATCCCCCAAACATATATTGTATCTGTGCTAGTACTTACTGTTTGTACACGTATTTTAACTGTGACAATCGGTATTTCACATGGAGGAATTAGATACTGATTTGCATAATTATAATGATTTTTTTTTAATGTCAAGTATCACTTAAACTACCTACATACCAAAAACCATGACAATTTGATAACTGGTTCTTGAGTTATCCTGCTTCAAACATTTTCAAACAAATGTGGCTGCTGTTCGGACCCAAACAAACTGCTATAGGACTTGCGTCACTTCTTGCGGAGCACAAGAGCTACCTACAGTTCAAAATTTATGTCCCTTGCAAGTACAGATCAGGAGATATCAAAAACGGAGGTTCTGCTGCAATACTATAACAAATTCTAATCATTTCGAGCTCTTATCGAGACCTACCCACCTACCAAATATCAAGATAATACATCTAAGCCTTCTCGAGTTCTGCTGTGAGACACGCACACAGACACACAGACACGTGTCACACACACGGCCACAAAAAACATAACCTTCTTGGTGAAGGTAACTAGAAAGGCAGACATTTGCTCGGGAGCAAATACAGTTTTCTGTCCATTTTCTTTTGTTCCAAAATGGACTGTTCCATTCAACCTTTTCCATGTTATATCAATATGACTTGGTGTTTCAATACCCCCATGTAGTCCCTAATACCCGTACCATACTTTTAAGTAAAATATTCTCCAACCCCCCCAAAGTGCCTTTCATTAAATACTTACCCCCCCCCCATACAATGCTATTAAGTAACAAGTATTACCAAAGCCCTCCTGTAATTTCAATATTAGGTGTTTTCCAAACCCCCATGTAGTGCTCCAACTCCCCATAGAGTTCTTTTCTGTAAGAGTGTTGTCGAACTCCCCATAGTGTTTTTAAGGATCACCCTGTCATTAATACAAATTTTCATATTTTTGACAGGATCCATGCAATGTGATTCTATATTATATTGTTGAGGCAATGTCTTTGTGTGTTTATGCCAAGTTAGTACAATAAAATTCAAAGGATGCCTAATGAGGGAGGGAGGGAGGGATGTACTATAGAGAGAGCCAAATTATGGTACTACATATGCAAACTTAAGAAAAAAAATTATCAACTGTAACTGTTGATTGTCAAATTGACATTATAGCTATTCCTTTGCACCACAGGAGCTGGGAGTATGAACAAGCCTTTGACAAAGAAGAGGAAGAACAACACTCTGGGATGAACTTCAGGCTAGATCAGTCAACCTCAACAATATAGTATAATACATACTGTGTAAGGTTTTTGTTGTAGTTAATAATGTACATGATGTGTATTACTAGTAAGACTACTCATACATGTATATCTTGAGCCCTGAAAATGTCTGCCTCAGGGCCCTGAAATCAGGGCAGCAAGTCTTCTCCTCTTCCCCTCATTAAGCGACCTATTGGTGCCAATTCTTCCTGAGGCCTTTCAAGTCTGAGACTATCAAATGCTTTGGTGGGATTTACCTCAATTACAATGTATGGCATGGAACTGGTGGTGCTAAACTTGCTGTAACTGAACTTACATTGTACTTCTTTAAGTCTTTCATGTAAGACAGAGTTTGGAGGTCTCATACCCTATTGTGCTTTGTAAATATGTGTTTTATCTAGTGTCATTGACTATGTAAATAAGGCTATAATTAGCATTATGTTGTTAAATGATGGTACTTTTTTATTCTTTTTTCTTTATTTCTTTATTTTTACATGTACATCTGATGTACATCGGGTACTTTAAGAAGTTGTGATTGAAGTGTTCAGGGAAGTCTTTCAAATTTTATTACCATAGTCTTGAAGCCTCTCCCCTCATCACGTTGCTGGACAATTGTGTTAGTTATTTTGTCATGACACGGTGCATGAAGACAAGGGTTTGAAAATATAATGCCAGAATTAGGCTTTTGTTACACACAGTACATGTAATGTTCAATTTTGTTATTTGTAGAACAGTTTGTCATGCATGTTTTAGTGAGTTGGTTGTCAAGGAAAATTTGAAGTGAACAGTGCACTGCAGTGTCCATGAATCATGGGACATATGAAGCAGTGGGTTGTGTTGCTGTGTAGTGTAGCACATTGTTTAGATAATGTTATAAGATGGTCTATTATTTTAAGTATATAGATGAAACTGACAGCTGACACAATTCCAGGTCTATGAGCTGCCCAGTGATTAAGGGTATTACAAAATGCTCACTAAAATGCAAAGGCTCAGACTCAGAGCGACTTGTATGTTGACGTACCAAAAACACTGTCTCGCAATCTATCCACTGTTCTTTTAAGATTTCTAAGATTCACCCACCAACCTACAAAATAACCACATGCTTGAATTCCATGCAAACCGGGCTCTTGAGGCCCCCAGTACATCATCCAGACCATTTAAAACTACATTTTCCATGCATCAGTCTGGCAGTCAGGACAGAATAATATTTTATTTCTGTGGTTGATCAATTCATCCCTTGATTAAGCTAGTTCATGTCTTAATGTTACAAGAAAGTGAGGAAGCTGTTAAATTCTCACCACTGAATTACATCTGATTTAGTACACCATTGTTTTTGATGGCACTACATGTACTTGATGAAAATACTGAATCAGATGAAAATCGCATGCCAACATTGCAAAGCAGCCATTTATAAATGCCTCTGAGTGCTGAGATGCAAGATTTAATGCACAATACAATGCAAATAGTCAGAAGTGAATGTTGGAAAAAGGTGCCCAATGCATTTTATGGATTTGAAAATCAGATATTTCGAAATCTAAGTGAATTATGTACACACTAAGTTGAAACAGCACTATCCTCATGTGTATTTGGCATTCTTGGAGCAAATACTACTCAGCAATTGTTGGAATGGGGGAAAATGGTTACCGATTGATCCTACTAGGCTGATTTATAGGGTAGTACCCAGATAATAGAGGATACATCTTGGGGTTTACTTGAAAAGGTCTTAATAAATGCTATAAAAGTATGAAAAACTGAATCTGATGTAAACATGTACATGTAGGATGGTATTAGGAAATAACCTACAACTTTGCCGCCATGAAAATTGCACTGGATGCCTTTAGAACTTTTAGTCCAGCAATTGTGGTTAGGGACTGTAAAATGAATTTAGCTGTTTCTAACAAAAATTCAAGATATAAGACTATGCACAAAGTAACCATCAGTTCATTAATAGATGTCAATTTGTAAGTGAAATGTCATACACGCATGTCTTACAAAGAATGCAACAACACGCTTTTTGAATGCTAATTTCATGCTACGAGGCCGTTACTTCTTGTGATTGTTTTTGTCAAAGTGTAACTTTTTACTAAAGTCTTGCAATCACATCACATAGCAAATTATTATATGTTTCAATCTCTGAAGGTCATGGACTGTAATAATGTATTAGAAGTCTGCTTGCAGTTTAGTCGAATATATTTGTGGAAAGATTTACCCTTTTCTTTTGATAAAGTACAAGGCATTGCATATATTCGTATCTAATAACACTTGGAACAGAAATGTAATGCAGCATTATGAGCACATCCATTTTGTTCTCTTTCTTCACCATTGCTGGCCAAAGACTTTTGCATATCAAGGAAATTTCCTTCCAAAGTGTTTACCTCAGTTGTTGCCCAGTGAGCATCCCACTACAACCAGAATATTTTTACAAGAAAGTTAGTGTAGATTGTTGATTAGATGTAATGAACCTGCAAGTAGTAGCCTGACTAAAAAATGTGAACAATTTTAACATGCTTCAGTCTGAATGCTGTAAATGTTGCAAATCATAGTCAACACCTCAGGTAAAGTCATTCAAGGTAAAGTTTTTTTTGCATCAATGTTGTTGTAAAATTATGGTCAGGACAGGATAAACCAGGGCTTGAAAGTAAAGGTGGTCCAGTGGCCACTGACCACAGAATTTAGACTGGGACAACTAAAAAGACACATTGGGACATTCTGGGGACAATAGAAAAATAGTTATCATCAGACTGTCAGCCCTTCTTTTGTTTATAAGGCACACGTCCTGGCTTTTGACTCCGGAAAAGTCCCCAGAAATTTTCTGTGATAGTCTATTCTGCAATAATAGTGCACTTGGGAGTGAATATAAGCAAGTTGACTTCAAGTTGAAGTCAATACTTCCCCAAAAACAGGTTGGGACAGTTCATCCTCACTTCGGGACAGCTGAAATTTATTTTTGGGACAGTGCTGGGACAATAGGAATTTCAAGGCATGAAAAACAGTAAATATACAAAATTAATGTAAACTAAGGATGACTCAAACATACTCTACATTCCTTGGCAGTTTCCTTTAATATCTCCTATGCAGATCAGGACAAACACCAATTAATATCTCCTATGCAGATCAGGACAAACACCAACACTGCTGCTAAACTAACCAGTCAAAACTAACAAGTCAAAACCGCTTATGAATTATGACATAAAATATTCATAATCTCTAGCTGAGGGTCTTGATATGCTCAGTAGCACTTAACACTAATGGCAGGTAAACAACCTGGTCCCATAAGATAGCTTGTTGAGATTATTTACCAGGCTGCCACAAATGGATCAAAAGGCTTTCTAATCAACCATACTGTAAGTTGTTATTTATACTAGGTATGTTTGGTAGCCAAGTTCACAGTGCATAGTCAAGCGTTTGAAACAAATCAACTATTAGTAAGCACATTCAGTCTTCCTTAAAACGTTGGTTTATCAAAATGTGTTACCCCATATATGTGCTTCTGACCCTACCACGTGCAGTCATCCTCAGTACAATAGTTTGTATCATATCTGTTGTATGCATCATAACTCTCTTATGCACGATGTACTTTCTTAAATATGATAAAGGTCAGAAATACATTACACTCTATATCAAACAATAAGACTTAGTGGCAACTTCCTGTCAACTTAACCAAGTTCTCTTTGAACAGACAAACTAAACATATTTTCTTCCTACAAGTTTGTTAAAGAATGCAAAAACATTTCGAAGCATATCGTGGAAGCCACAAGCATATTTCATGATAGTTAAATCTGAACTTTGCAAAGAAAAGTAAGTTCTTCAATGAAATAACATAGTGCCTTTTCACACATTTAGAAGTACTTTCCCTCCTACATGTAGTTAACTTTTAGTTTCTAGTTATACATGCATAAAGAATAATCCTACTTTTTTATTTCTTTGCTTGTTTGCATATGGAGTTCATGCTCTCAACAGTTTGCAATAAACTATACTTTGAAAGAAAATATGAGTCAGTGTTATAATTTTAACTTCAGGAAGACTACAATCATGTACTGCGTGATGGGTTGGGCGATGTCTGATGGTCTTACTTCATTCACACGGCATGCTAATGTTCCTCCAGACCTGGAAAGACATCAAAAAGGGAATTATCAGGTTATTGAAAACAAAATGGGTTCATAATAATTTACATACCATTTTACTCAAAACAGATAATACCTGCTGAACAATTTTAATTCTCTTATAAGCCTTTTGACCTATTATCCGTTAATGTAAGTGATTTTTATGCTAATTTGTTGTCACATAGATAATTATTACAGTTGAAAAATAGAGTCAAAATTCATGCAATCATCATTATCATAAAGATATCATTAAAATTCATCAGCACCTTTTTCATTAAGCTGTATATACTCTCCAGGGAGGGTGTTTCGCTCTAATTCTCTGCTTCTGCCATGGCTTCCATACATACAGTATGTCACTCTTTATGCGTCCAAACACACACTCAGACATCCAGACAGTAAGCGCACACACACACACATACCCACAAAATTTATATTAAACTTTCTAAATATTAAAGGTAAAGATGTCAGCAAGGTGAATGAAGATTGCAATTACATACCATGATTGCCTTGTTCAATCTGTTTCCATCTCTTCTTCTTCTGTCTCATCACGTAGTGCTGTAAAGGTATTTAAGAGATGATTGTATGGTTGACATATTTTGTTTCACATCTTATAATAAGTCATCTTAATTTAATGAGTTTCAGAGTGTTTAGTAAACAAAATTGTTTATCTAGACAATATTTAATGAACAGTAACAACTTTCATCAAGACACAGTACCAGTAGTAGTATTATAATTAAAACAGTCTGAGGCCAGTACCTTTCTCAATGTTTTCTTGTTGATCCTTGGTAAAACTCTCCCACCGGAACCCTACAAATCGCTTGCTCCTCCTGTTGACCTTGTAGGGAACAGTCTCTGGCAATCCTTCACCACTGGCCTTCAAATGCTCCTTAATGGTGCTCAGGGGGAAGTCTGGGGAGGCTTCAGACAGTGCTTCACTTGTCACCATCAAGGTTTTGATCCGTGGAGTGGGTCCCTTCTTCGTATACTTCATTGAACTCATCCTCACAGCATCCTTCAGCTCCTTTAAAGATTTATGAAAGATATATTTAGCACACTGGCTTAGTTCAGTTATTGGATCTTATTACTATTATATAATAGTAACCAGGCCATAATCATCAGTTGTATTAGGAAGGCTAATTTACGCTTTGCCAATGATTATGTTCTACTTACTAAGATCTTCTTCAACTTACTCTGATAGACTTGAAAATGTAATTAAATGGATTTTAAGTATTATACAAGGTAAACAAGGCAGCTTGATCACAAATGTGTAAAACTATAAAGCCTAATAAAACCCAAATACATCGTGACCTTGCAAGTCATCTATGTTGCCCTTTTCCTAAATGCATGTAAATCCTATTGCTGTTGCTCTTCATTTATGTTTAAGTTTGTATCAGGCACAACAACCCATGCTAGGAGGTAGTGGACATGTCAAGGGTGAGATGTTACAGCAATAGTAATACACTGTCATGTAAATTTCTACAGCTTAACAACAATGTTAAATTTATGGCATTCAGGGAACACAAGCAAATTGAATATGATTGACTATCTCACCTCATAAGTTCTTGTGGTTATCCACATGGCAATGTCCGCCCGGACTGTCTCCAGCACAGATGGTGGGTCTTGGTTCACCAGGCAACTACTAGTAGGTTGCTGCATATGTGTCAGAACAAAGGGCAGGACCTTCTCCTTCCAAAAGGAGTCCACCTCCTCTTGGGGGACTTCAAACCTGTGGCAAATCTAGAATTCAAGATGCAGAGAACAGCTGTGTCAATTAATTATGCAGAGATTTAAGGAGTATTAGATATGATCTAGGTTGCTCCTGACACTTGAGGAATTTGGCACTTGGCAATTTGTGGAAATGGGTCATTAACATAATAATAACACCAAATCGACTGCCTCAACATTGTGTCCAGGGATGTTAAGATTAACATCTAAATTGTACACTTTGAAGAAATATTTGCAACCCCCTCTCTATTTTTCGTCCTCATTTCTAAGATCAATATTAGATCCATTCCAAATTAAGTACATTTTCCTTATTATGGGGGAATGAAAACTAAGACCCTGTTTACATGGGGCAAAATATCATTTGACCTGCATCGAAGGCCACATTTCACCACACATTGGTTTTTCTGTGGAACATCCAGAGGTGCGAGAGGAAAATTGATGTGAGGCACCTGCACGCGTCAGTGGCGGAGGTAATGTTTACATGCTTAAATCTGTCACCAACAACTTGCAGTGCGGTGCCACGCGTCATTCGACGCATGTCAAATGATATTTTTGCCCCATGTAAACCAGGCCTTAGACAGCGCAACTCATGATCACCTTGGATGTGAACCAGTGTAGGACACTGTAGTTCACCAGAGTGTCCCTCAACACATTTGGGTTGTCTCTCGCCCACTCCTCTCCCTGTCTCAGCACTTTCTTCCAGCCCTTTTCCCTGAACGTGACCCCCGTCATGACCAGAGTCCGCATACAAGCTGATAGGCGCTCTTGGTCTCTCAATTCCTTCAGCTGTACTCTGGCCTCTGCTCCACCTGTATCACTGATTTTACGCCCATCAAATGGTACGTAGAGCAGCCTTCTCAGGTCCCTTAAAGATCAAACAAAAACAGAAATGATTAGTTTTGTCACTTGGTCCCCTTTACTCTCTATGAAAGATTTCTTTTTTTGCCATACATGTACTGTAGATTAAGTAATACTATGTGAATGTGTTAACTGTTACATTGATCAAAATCATTAATATGATGATCCTGCTTTTTACAGTTTGTCAGTGCATTCTGTGTACAAATGTATTTTGAAGCATGCACAGTAGTCACTTTAGATTTGCACTGACAACTAATTTGGCCACATTGTTCACAAACCACAACAAAGAAATCACAGTTTGCTGCATTGTCAGTTCTGGAAGGGCCCCAGGCTATAAGATAATACCATTAATGACTCATCTATTTCTCAGTGCATATAATAAACCCGAAACCTGTCAGTGTCAAAACAAAATCTGGACTCACACCGCCATTTGTCTGATAAGGGTGTCCGACAGGGGTGTAACTTGAGCCCCACCCTTTTTAATTTATTACTTAATGATTTAGTGAAAGAGTTAGACAATTCAGAATGTATGCCACCTACTTTATATAATCTTATTATGTCTCTTGTTTATTGTAAGCTGATGATGTTGTGATCACTTTTAGAATCAGACAAAGGTCTGCAATCAGCCATAATGATTTAGATCACAATGGATAGTCCTTTTTGTGGCATTCCATTAACTGAACATGTTGCAAAAATGCTGAGGAGACTTACAGATATGCATATACAAACATTTTTTCATACTTTGTCAACTGATAGTTGCAAGTTAAGATTTTACGCAAAATGTAAAACCTCCAACATACATGTAGAGCGAATCATTACCTTGACATTGCAGATTTTAAACTACGCTCAAGCCATCTAAGCAAAATTAGAGTTAGCGCCCATCCTCTGGAAATAGAGAGAGGCAGGTATAGAAGCTAGACTACATCTATGTGAAAGAATTTGTAAATATTGAAGACGAAAGACATTTTATCTCAAACTGTTCAAACCATAACAATGCTCGAAATGAGTTGACTACTCAAACTTCTACAATTTATCACAATTTCCACAAACTTACAGACAAAGGAAAAACTATTCTTCTTTTAACTTCCCAAAACCCACAGATTTTGGAAAAGGTGGGACATTAAGTCTTCCATGGTTTACAAAAGATCACCAGGTTTGGAAACTTTTTGATAAGGCCTTGTCAGTAATGTTATAACCACCAAAGTTTGCATTGAAAACTTGGCAGTTTTACTTGGTGATTATTATTATCATAATAGCAAGTGACAAAATATCACACCATATTAATTAACCTGGGGCATGACACTTACCCTTAATTTAATAGTACATATTCAACACTTAGGCAACCAATATGCACTTGGAAGCTATGACACAGAATTTTTTTACTAGAATGAAGATAAAACTGACCTCTCCTCGTGGTGCTCCAGAGGGTGGTTTGCAGTCATCAGAAACCCACACCTTGCAGCCTCCAGTCCCCTAGACAGGGTGTAGAAGCCCCCCATTCCATAGAAGTCGACTGCTGCCTCTTTCCTGGATTCTAAGGTGTGTGGGTCGTCCATAAAGCAGCCCAGCGTTGTCCTGCTGGCCAGGGAGACCACAGCCTCCCTTTTGAACTGCCGTAGGTAGCCGTTCTCACCAATACCTGGAAACAACAACAACAAAAAATTTAAAAGAAATGGTTAACATTTGAGAAAATTAATGCTGAATCATGTACCACATTTGGTGTTACTCTTCGTACAATTCCCAATTTAAAATGGAACAAAAAAACCTAGCATGCGGTAAGGATTGCATGTATAATTTGTAGTAAAGATTTGGGATTTACATAATAAATATTTCTTAATTCCTTTTTTTTTGTTTGATTCAATTGATTTATCTGATTTCTTTTTAGACCAAATACACTAAATATCTAGCACTGATCCAAGTGTATGATGAGTTTTGTGAGCTTAGTAGAAACATAGTAACAGTATCCAATGTTGTCTAAAACTACAAAAAAACAGTTACTGTTTTTTTGTAGTTTTAGACAACATTGGATAATTAGCAAGTATGAAACACTTAGCTTACCAATCATGCTGAGGGCAGTCTTCAGCGCCATGGTCTTGCCCAGACCGCTTGGCCCTACTGCCACTGTCACAGGGCAGCTGTCAAACCTGCTTGCCACAAGCTCAGCATGCATTGACATGTTTGCATGTCCCATAACATACATGGATGGCATGAAATTGTGCTGGAACGCTTTCCTCATCACCTGGTGAAAAATAGGAAACTAACTTCAGTACCATGTCAAATTTTAGCTGGCAAAGTCATAATGAGATATAATCCTTCAGTTAGTAAGTTTCTAAATAGCTTATGAGACAACTTTTCAGAAGATTCATTACAAAGTTACTCTACTGTGTATGGGGCAGTAATGGCAGGGGTAAGATTCAAGCTATGCAATCGTCCCCTGATAAATTGTGACCCCAACAACATAATGTTCCAGACACGAAAAATGCCACCAGCAAATCAGAACCAAAGCATGTACACATACACACAAACAAACAAAAAAAAAACACAAATAATACCTCCATTTTTCACGGAGGTTAAACTTTAATTACTCACCTTAACAACTTCCTTCATTGGTGACAGGGATAGTGGCAGGCTAATCTTTGCCGTCCACACATTGTGTTGCAATGGCAACAGGATATATTGTTGCTGATCAGGCCGCACTCGTGAAACAGTCATTTTCCCTTTCTCATTCTCTTCAGCTTTTATCTGGACCTAGAGCATTGAAAAAGTGACACAGTGTAACTTTAAAATTCCATGTATTTTTATACGGATACATATGGGGGAAACAAAGTCCCCGCCTGAGGACAGAACAATGTTATGTTACTTGAATGGTACAATATAAAGATAATTTCAGTGGGTAGGGAGGGTGGGAAAACGTGTCAGTCAGGTACTGATCGTCTTGCCGCTAACTCAGGCTGAGAGCGAATGACCGGGGCACGAGGGAAGCGATGCACTGATGCCAGATGCGGCTGGTGCCGGATGGGCAGATTAGGTTACGCCTGCTGCCAATTAGACGGTATTCGCCGAATACCACAAACATTGAAGAGGTTCATCAGTCACGTATAATTAACAGTTAGTATCCACACAAGTCTTGACCTAGTTTCGTGTTCTCGCGAGACTTATATATATTAGGTTTATTCCATTGTACCTGCAGATTCCTTTCTTGCAAATCATCTTACCAAATCAAATTACCAACTTGCAGTCTTTAAAGTTAGATATTCATCACCCTTCTGACTGGGTTTCATTTACAGGTGTTGCACTGTCCCTCCATTGTTACACCTTCAGTTGGTCTTTTTCATGTATTTAGTGATAATAGGATTTTAACTACTAGTATATTAGGCACACACCTTATCGTTGAATATCCAAATGTCTTCATCTTTCACCTTCCCCACGACTGTGGTTCCCCTTCTTGTCTTGAGCTGAGTGCCTTTCTCGAATTCCAGCTGCTTCCTAACAAGCATGGATCTGAATGACATGTCTGGCATGCTTGTTGTGAGGCACCCCCAGTCCTGGTCCCCCATTGTGAGATTTGCATAACTGCAAAATGTGTCCCTCCTGGCACCAACTGGGATGTACCTTACCCTGTGTGAAACAGATGAATTCATTATATCACAATTCTGAATGGGTAAGTTAAGACTTGTACCCATATAGGTATACCGTTAACGCCTTAATATATTGTAGAACCATTACCTTTGCCAAGAATGTTACAAAAAATAATAATATGTTTTTATTGGTGTTTGTGTGTGTGTGTGTGTGTGTGTGTGTGTGTATACATGTATGTGTGTGTGTATGTGTGTGTGTATGTGTGTGTGTCACGGTGTGTGTGTGTGTGCATGTGTGTGTGTGTGTGTGTGTGTGTGTGTGTGTGTGTGTTAACACAACTTGAGAAGGCTAAGATGAATTATGTCTTGCCCTCATACTTGGTAGGTGAATACCTAATGGAATGATTAGATTTTGGGGCCTCTGGCAGCTTGTTATGGTACAGCAGCTGAACTTTCAGCTTTGATATCTCATGACCTGAGCATGGTAGAGTAGTTATGAATTTTGGTACCTCTTGGGATAGGGAAAAAAGTGACTTGAGTTTGGTCCCACCTGCAGCTGGCTCTGGTTATCAGCTCAAATGATGCTTGACATAATCAAATGATAGTTATGCAATTAAGGCTCTAATTTTCATCCTTAATGAGGAATTTCTGTAAATATGCTACCTTCCATGATATGACTATTTAAACTTATATGTAATTATGAATGAGAGGAACATAAACAGATACTGGTTATGGAAATGAAGGCCTGGTTTGCATAAGTAATGAGAAAAAGCTATAATTCCAAAGTGGTAACTGCTGGGAATTTAAAACTTGTGGAATTTGGAAGTTAACTGAAGGTGAACACTGTTAACATAACTTATTCGAATCAGGACCATATTTCTATAATATGTATTGAATTTGTTGACATTCATCAAGGCCAAAATCATTTGTAGTTACTAAGTATGAGTTCCTGGAACTCTAGTCTCACTTTAACTTTAAATGTTCAAATTGTAGTTAAGGCTGGGATATGATCAGAGGGAAGAAAAAAGTTATAGGTCAATTGGTAGCAAGGTGAAATTGTTGATGAGGGATTGTTTTTTAGGCCTTTCCTGCTAGCCTAAGGAACAGAAACTGCTTAAACCTTTGATGAAAGGCACATCAATCTTAGAATTCCTAACAGTAATCACAGGAATTCACACGACTGTATGCCAGCAACAACAGATTGTACACAAGGTGAAAACTTACACACTCACAGAAAAATATCCACACCAATGGGGAAATATCTTGACAGGGAAAGTGCATGACATGGACAGGTATTTAAAATATCTGAAACACTTAGTCTGGTCCATGCCAGATTTGTGTCAGTTAATGTAACTTAAAGTATTATCTCTTTGTGAGTATGTAACACATGATTACAACTATGGATGTGGGTATAGTCATATATCTATTAAGTACTGTAACCTACAGTATATCTATACTGGTACTCGTCTTTCCACTGTCATTTGTCATCATGGCGATACTAATACTCCAAATGAATGTAAATACATGTATGAAAATTATGAACCTAAATTTGTACTCTAAGTCTAGTCCTGATTGTTCTTTCAAACTCAAAGTCAAAGACTATTGAATTATAGCACAGTTGTCTGCATAATATCAGTCACATTTAAGGGCTATAACAATCTGCTTGATTAACGAAATGTACAATGACAAAAATCGTTCTCACTTGATTTTCATGGCAAAATATTAACATTATCCTTGACTCATTAAAATCTAATAAACCTTAAAAAAGGGATTAAAACATAGTTTCAAAATCAAGATTATTTATTGCCTGTAGACTTTTGCTTCTGACTCAATGTGTAGCACTTGTATGGGACATGTTTAACTCCTATCTGATATTTCAAGGTATACATACCCGGTCTTCTGGCCTGGGTGACATGTCAGCTTCACCAAAAATCCTGCATGATCTCCTGTGACCTATATGGAAAGTAGAGAAAGATGTATTTAAAAAAAACAGCTACATCTACGCAAACAGCTTGTTCATGATCATCAATCCATGAAATATAATAATTATAACTTCAAGTGTTTATGAATTGTGATCAATGGCTCAGTATACCTGCTTATGCCCTAAGGTCACATTTCCAAACCGGGGCCCGGCCGGGCTGTTTGTATGAACGAAAAACAATTCATATCAAGAATATACAGGAATAGTGCCCATGATGATTATAGAAAACTTCTCCATGTTTCCTTGTTCGTACTAAGCTTATATCGTACTTTTCGTTCCATAAGACTGCCCAGCTGGGCCCCGGTTCGGAAATGTGAGCATTAGAGGGCATAATGAGAGACCTGAGTCTTATCACTCAGGTCTATCCTGCTAAGCAGATGGGTACATGAGAAAATTAGGTCAAAGCAGAAAGCTGACTTGTCAATTTAGTTTCAGCTGGTTAATCCCATTTTCTTTCAGACCCTTGTGGGTAAGAGGAAGTGAGTACCTGTATATGTCAGGTATGGTACCCATGAAGGCCCATACATGTACTAGGTACAATGTGGAGCCTATTCTTCTTCACTGTCAGTATTTGTACTCATGAAGTGTTACTTAATACTTAGATATAGAATCTACAATGTTATGTAGTAAAAAAATATATTTTTTTAATGTAGACAAGTCAGTAATAAGGGAACAGACGAAAAAGTGAGAGATTGTCTCAGTAGCAAACTGTGAAGGATTGTATATCTGACAATGTACAGAAACTATTTGACAGTTTCAAATTCCAGATTCTAGGTTCTAGGTTTCTATGGCCTCATGTAATAGTGCTGTCTGCTCCAATACTATAAGATGTCTGTATTTATTTATTTATTTATTTATTTTGGCTTACAAAGAAGCCAGGGTGTCCCAACTAGTCAAATACTATTACTAAGCACTTCTAACTATCAGACTGAGAGCACCGGAACAACAGATGATAAACCAGATAGCGAGTGAGTACAGGAAGTTTGAAGTATATGATGTCTTGATTTATATTTTTGATTAAATTCTTTGCATCCAAAAATCAACCAGAACCAACACACCAAATTGGTATAGTCGTATAATTACTAAATTAGACTAAAGTGTACATAATCCATCATTCAGTAATTCATTGTGGCTATACTTGAGGGCCTGCAAGCCCTTTTTTGTAAGGCGTAATCAGGCCGTTTTAGACTTCGTAATTCGTAGGCAGCCTCCCCAAAAATCAACGTAATTCGTAATTGGACATTAGCCGCAAATCGTAAAGTCGTAATCAGCTCTGAAAGTTTAACGTAATTCGTAATAGGCGGCGAAAATTTTGCGTAATTCGTAATCACTACCCCCCCTTGCAGGCCCTCATACTTGTGCTACTCAACACATTCGTCTGTAACAGTTGGGGGTTTAAAGGCGCTACCAACTGACCTGGCCGATGGGTCTAGACCTTTTCGGCCGAGTGGTTAGAAGGTTGGACTGGTGCCCGGGGGCCTTGGGTTCGAACCCCGGCACAGGACCAGGAGGGGTTTTATCTATTTCTACTGGCTCCTTCTGTTTCCACACGTCAACTGGTAAGTTATGCCTTGAGATACATAATTATTACTGTAACAGTGTTATATTGGTTTCCCATTCATGCAAAACAAAGCATTCAACCTGTTACTAAGTGTTAGATAACACAGTTTCAACAGTTGACGTACATTGTACCTATCGAGTGACCCGATTCCCTTCTGTAGCTTTTGAGCCTGACAACATACAATTTACCTCATATCACCTAATATCCACATGGGTCAAACATATAGTTCTAATATTATGAATAATGTCCTTATTTGAAAGAATACATCCCCCCCTTTGGTGTCCACGTTTGAAAAGGTATCGCTACATGTATCAGGTCTTTTTCGTCTGTAAAAGGTTGGTTACCTTTTTCATCCCATCTTTCGTGCTTGTCATTGACACATAGAAGAATAATTCCCCTATAAGAACGTCTAAACCGAAAGGACCACTTTATGTCGAATCTCCTATTCCCTATTTCACTTATAGTTAAACCTGTTATATATTCAATTTGAGTCTTGACAATTTTCTATACCGCGGCCGAGTGAAAGATCCCGTACTCGAGTACAGACATTCATCGGGAATACTTACCATTACGTTTATAAATCGGTACCAATAGTTGAAGAATGAGTCTTCATGTCCATCAAAAATTTCTTAAAATTTCTCGAGGTGAGAATCAATCAATCAATCTTTATTCAAACAACTTAAGCAGACGAAAGTCTGAATTGAGTTGTTTTTAAAGTTCATAAAATTAGACGTTAAACAATACTAATGGTTTAAAAATTGCATGATTTACACGATAATCACACAAATTCGGTAGAGAGCTATAATAATGCCTATAAAGGTCAATGTTAGCCGAACTTTTCGCTCTATGCCCTCTTATGATAAGTAAAAGCAGGGAAGAACTGCATTTATTACTAACGTTTAATGCTGGGGTCACAAATTCCCACACGGGGCCCGGCCGGGCAGCTTTTGGGAACGACAACTACGATACAAAAGACAAGAAAACATCGAAAAGTTCTTGATAACAATCATGGGCTCTATTTCTCTATATTCTTGATAAGAATAGTTAATTTTTCGTTCGTACAAACAGCCCGGCCGGGCCCCGGTTTGGAAATGTGACCTAAGCATAACAGCTGAGAACAATGTGCGGAATGGGCGATTTTTTGTACCGTTCTGACACTGCGGCAATATGGAGTGTCAAACTTGTGTGCAGAACGTGTACTTCTACCAGAGATATTAAGCCTTACTGGGGGCAGCCATTCACGAAAGTCAGAGTTCAAGAGCGATTCTGCAAATATTCTACAGATTGTGCGGCGTCGATCGGCCAGGGAGCTGAGGTTCAATGTAGTATTGCTGTGTCCTAACTGGAAGACTGTGACCCCAGGATGATTTTGCAGGCCCTTACTTGGATTCGTTCTAGTGTCTTTAATGCCCCTCGGTTGTCGCGAGCTTTGCCGGCGGAGCAACTCGCCTGGCCATGATCAGCCCTCCCCCGGCCCGACAGGGCCCTATCAATTAACGTTCTACTGCAAAATTCTATACAAATAACCACAAAAAAAGGGTAAAAATCTCACCTCTGGGATTTAACGTTCATGAACACTGACTTTAACAGGAAAACACACATCCTGAAGTGTCCATAAGCCCATTTTCACAGCTCTTTAAACTTTAAATGGCCAAAAACAGACTGATGAAAACTTGACCTTTCACCTCCAACTCCAGAAACCTGATCACACCACTTGGGACTACTTTCCTCAGTGGTCTCCCAAACATAAATTTCTAAACCAAAGGTTATTTCTTGCCAGTCTGCAGTCTTACGTATCCCATCCACCACAAAATTGACAAAAAGGCACCAAATTTTCCAAGAAAAATGAAGTTCTAATGGTGTAATAACCCGACACCGGGAAAATTAACAATTACTTCCGTTTGTACAAACTGAAAACGTCACACTTTGTTTGAAAACAATTGTTGCTTGATAATTGTTCTTTGTTATTTGTCCCCTATTCAAAATTTCTTACCTTCTCTACAATGTCGAAGGTGAAGTTTGAAACGGGAATGAATTCCTCCACAGCTTTTCCAGTCTGAGGATCTTTCTCAGTCTTGTGTTTCTTGAAATAACCCATCATGCCATCTTTCTCAACATACGACCTCTCTTTGGACGCCATCTGTAAACAGATATGAACTGATCAGTGGTGTGGTCATACCCTTAAGCTTTAAAAGGACAAGTAATTCACTTTGAGTACAGCCGTAAAAAGACGTAAAGCAAGGAAAACAACAACTTAAAACTAAAAATGACTGGAGTGACAAGGAAAAGAAGAACTTACCACGCTTTCCTCTGTCCGTTCCTGCAAGGAGGTTCAAAAAGTTGAACCTCGTTGGTTCCTGCAAGGAGGATTGAACCCCCTTGCTTGTTCGAATTCCTTGGATGATCCTAGCGAAAAGTCTTGATTACCGCGAAAATGCATAAGAAAGTTTCCCAACAATTTTTTAACTGTCTTACTGGCTTCTGCCGTGTTCTGGTGAGACTCTGCAGAATGGCTGTCAACACCGCAAAGTCACTGATTCACACAAGCGTTCTATCTGTCTTGATTGGTCGTTGCCATAGGATACAACATCGCCAGAAATTTATATGCATTGTGCAAGGCCTGCACTTCATTTTCACCTTTTGTGATTTTGAAAGAACCTCCGCCATATGCACTACATCACGGTGTGAAATGGCTCACGACAGCCCTCATGATTACCATTCGGGTGCAGTCGGCATTGTCCCGTGAATTCACCCCAAAGAGGACTAATTATCGACTAAGTGAGAAATTTGCTTGTCATCCACACACTAGGTCAAAATCTGTTTGTTGTTTGTAGGATCATGAAGGTAAAAAAAGCACTAGTCGCGTTGACAAATCTAATAAGATCTGCTTATTATATATTAATCTAATAAAATCTGCTTCTCATATATTGATAAGGATAAACGAACCCACTTATTCGTCCTTGCTTGGAAATTACTTGTCAGTGCAAGACATTACTTGTCAGACAACATGTAAGAAAATATATTAAGTATTTAGCTTCTGCTGCCTACTTTTCTCTCTGATACTAGTGATAGGTTACAAACCGTTGGTCCTCGGTGTTATATAGAAAACAATGAAATGAGTGGGGTACCTACCTGGTATTCGTGGTTCAAACCTTACAGTTTCCTGGTTCAAACCTAGTGGCCTCATGGCTGTGAGACTTGAAACTTTATTCGGATCGACATTAACCTGTTACCTGCTTCCCAGAATGTGATACATGCATATGAATACAACGCGTTAGTTGCTTTTGAGTACAATATTGAGCCCGTCACGCACTGTTAAATGAACTTGTCCGACCGACATCCATAATTTTACTGGTATGAAAGCCATGAAACAACGTCTGAAACAATTGTATTCCTGTAGCAACGTTTTAGCAATGTTATGTCCTTGGTTTTAGTAACTTACGCGCCGCGGCAACTGGTTTGGTGGTTATAATTTGCTCACTGAAAGCTGGCTTCCCCATGTTTATTACTTGTACCATGTTGTTTTTCTACCTCCATGTTTGTACCACTTCAGTGGAACAACACGCCCTTTAACACAGCTATGTTGACTCCACATAATCGGTCACACATATTGTCCCATGTACAACTGTCGAGCAAATAAAGTTCATTCATTCATAGGACGTATGCTCACACTTGGACGCTAATAATCATACAATGTCCTCGGTTGGAAAATCAGAAAATCAATTGATCTGGACAGACTACTATCCAGGCAGAGGTTTGGGTTTAATTTTGGCGTGTTTTAAACTTTAAACCTTTTAAACCTCTACTTGGAGTCTATAGTCAGACTGCTCCCGAACAACACGCCCCAATCACGCGGGATTTATAGCCGGCAGATAACACAAGTCAGCGTATGACCGAGTATGTTTATAACCCGGAAGGTGCCTGTTCAAAACGGTATATGCATAGCTTTAGCCTGATGCGTGGAGGGAAAGGTCAGGTCGTCGTTTTCTAAATGTGTGCTTGCAAGTTGCACGGGTATTCAGCGACGTAGGTCCGTAAATAGACACTGCCCTGTCAACGGACTTTGGTGGTAGAATCTATCGGCACAGAAGCGAAGCCCGTAGAAAAATACGGTCCCACCCGCTAGCCTCACCAAAGCTGTCTTCCTTATAAGCGGTGGACTCTAAGAGCCTATCGGTACAGAAGTGAAGTCAGGCCGTGAAAAGAGACGGTCCCGCCCGATAGCCTCACCAAGGCTGATGCTCTGCAAACTACACAACTACAGCAACTACGCGTAGTCAAAAAGCATTTCATATAAATATATCTCAGGCCGTGAAAAAGACGGACCCGCCCGCTAGCCTCGCCAAGACAAGACAAGACCTGAATGATACTCCAACTACAGCAACTACACGTAGTGAGAAAGCCTTTCATACAATCATGGAGGTAGAAATCTACCTCCATGATACAATAGACCGTTACTCAAGGCGGTGGACTAAGGTGCTTGTCGGCAAAGAAGCGATCTCTGGCCGTGAAAAATACGGTCCCGCCCGCTAGCCTCGCCAAGACAAGACCTGATACCCCAACTACAGCAACTACAGCAACTACGCGTAGTAAGACAGCCTTTCATACAATATACCTTTTCTTAAGGCGGTGGACTCAGGTGCCTATCGGCACAGAAGCGATCTCTGGCCGTGAAAAAGACAGACCCGCCCGCTAGTCTCGCCAAGACAAGACCCGATACCCCAACTACAAGAACTACAGTAACTACAGCAACTACGCGTAGTAAAAAACCTTTCATACAATATACCTTTTCTCAAGGCGGTGGACTGTAGGTGCCTATCGGCACAGAAGCGATCTCAGGCCGTAGAAAAAGACGGTCCTGCCGGCTAGTTTCGCCAAGAGAAGACCTGATACCCCAACTACAGGAACTACAGTAACTACAGCAACTACGCGTAGTAAGAAACCTTTCATACAATATGCCTTTCCTCAAGACGGTGAACTCTAGGTGCCCATCGGCGCAGAAGCGATCTCTGGCCGTGAAAAAAGACGGTCCCGCCCGCTAGTCTCGCCATGACAAGACCTGATACCCCAACTACAGGAACTACAGCAACTACGCGTAGTAAGAAAGCCTTTCATACAATATACCTTTCCTCAACGCGGTGGACCCAGATGCCTATCGGCACAGAAGCGATCTCAGGCCGTAAAAAAAGACGGTCCCGCCGGCTAGTTTCGCCAAGAGAAGACCTGATACCCCAACTACAGGAACTACAGTAACTACAGCAACTACGCGTAGTAAGAAACCTTTCATACAATATACCTTTCCTAGCCTCAAGACGGTGAACTCTAGGTGCCCATCGGCGCAGAAGTGATCTCTGGCCGTGAAAAAAGACGGTCCCGCCTGCTAGCCTCGCCAAGACAAGACCTGATACCCCAACTACAGCAACTACAGGAACTACGCGTAGTAAGACAGCCTTTCATACAATATACCTTTTCTTAAGGCGGTAAACTCAGGTGCCTATCGGCACAGAAGTGATCTCTGGCCGTGAAAAAGGCAGACCCGCCCGCTAGTCTCGCCAAGACAAGACCTGATACCCCAACTACAGCAACTACAGGAACTACGCGTAGTAAGACAGCCTTTTATACTTCAATATACCTTTTCTTAAGGCGGTGGACTCAGGTGCCTATCGGCACAGAAGTGATCTCTGGCCGTGAAAAAGGCAGACCCACCCGCTAGTCTCGCCAAGACAAGACCTGATACCCCAACTACAGCAACTACAGCAACTACGCGTAGTAAGACAGCCGTTCATACAATATACCTTTTCTTAAGGCGGTGGACTCTAAATGCCTATCGGCACAGAAGCGATCTCTGGCCGTGAAAAAGACAGACCCGCCCGCTAGTCTCGCCAAGACAAGACCTGATACCCCAACTACAGCAACTACAGGAACTACAGCAACTACGCGTAGTAAGAAGCCTTTCATACAATATACCTTTTCATAAGGCTGTGAACTCAGGCGCCTAGCGCCCATCGGCAAAGAAGCGATGTCAAGCCGTGAAAAAAGACAGACCCACCCGCTAGTCTCGCCATGACAAGGCCTGATACCCCAACTACAGGAACTACAGCAACTACAGGAACTACGCGTAGTTAGAAACCTTTCATACAATATACCTTTTCTAAGGCGGTAGAGTCTAGGTGCCTGTCGGGACAGAAGCGATCTCTGGCCGTGAAAAAGACAGACCCGCCCGCTAGTCTCGCCAAGACAAGACCTGATACCCCAACTACAGGAACTACAGCAACTACAGCAACTACGCGTAGTAAAAAACCTTTCATACAATATACCTTTTCTCAAGGCGGTGGAATCTAGGTGCCTATCGGCAAAGAAGCGATCTCAGGCCGTGAAAAAAGACGGTCCCGCCTGCTAGCCTCGCCAAGACAAGACCTGATACCCCAACTACAGGAACTACAGCAACTACGCGTAGTAAAAAACAGTCATACAATATACCTTTTCTTAAGGCGTTAGACTCAGGTGCCTATCGGCACAGAAGCGATGTCAAGCCGTGAAAAAAGACGGTCCCACCCGCTAGCCTTGCCAAGACAAGACCTGATACCCCAACTACAGCAACTACAGGAACTACAGCAACTACGCGTAGTAAGAAAGCCTTTCATACAATATACCTTTCCTCAACGCGGTGGACCCAGATGCCTATCGGCACAGAAGCGATCTCAGGCCGTAAAAAAAGACGGTCACGCCGGCTAGTTTCGCCAAGAGAAGACCTGATACCCCAACTACAGGAACTACAGTAACTACAGCAACTACGCGTAGTAAGAAACCTTTCATACAATATACCTTTCCTCAAGACGGTGAACTCTAGGTGCCTATCGGCACAGAAGCGATATCTGACCGTGAAAAAAGACGGTCCCGCCCGCTAGACTCGCCAAAACAAGACCTGATACTCGAACTACAGGAACTACAGCAACTACGCGTAGTAAGACAGCCTTTCATACAATATACCTTTCCTCAACGCGGTGGACCCAGATGCCTATCGGCACAGAAGCGATCTCTGGCCGTGAAAAAAGACGGTCCCGCCTGCTAGCCTCGCCAAGACAAGACCTGATACCCCAACTACAGCAACTACAGGAACTACGCGTAGTAAGACAGCCTTTCATACAATATACCTTTTCTAAGGCGGTAGAGTCTAGGTGCCTGTCGGCACAGAAGCGATCTCTGGCCGTGATAAAGGCAGACCTGTCCGCTAGTCTCGCCAAGACAAGACCTGATAC